TTCCAGGCATCTGTCCGCTCCTTGTTGGTCAACTTGAGCCATTCTTCGGTGTTCGGCTCTCGCACGAAGCAGCCATTCTCTGCGATCAGCCCAAGGCCGGGAACTCGTCGGAACAGACGTTCCATCTCTTCGGGCATTCGTGAGCTCATGACATAAACCACATTCTTACTGTCCTCCGTCAAATCCGTCAATGTGGTAATAGCTCGCTGTGGAGTCGTGACAATGATGCTCTTGGGAGAACCCCATGACGCAAGAGTGCCCTCGTAGTCCACAATGATTAATCGGCGTGCGGATTTTCGGTACATCTCCTCCACTTTGTTGACGGGCAAGCGCGGAACAGCCATGATCTCACGCGAAGATTGTTCATTCCAGACACGTTGTAATTTCTCATTGAAGGATTTCACCCAGTTTCCTGTGGAGTTCTGAAGGACGGCCCGGCGAAGCTGCTCCCACACTCGTTGACGCTCCGCCTCGCTCCTGGTCAGTGCAGTATGGATGGCCTCCGCACATTGTCGGTAGTCCCAGGGGTTGACAAGCAGCGCGTGGTTGCCGAAAACTGACGCACTTCCAGTAAACTCGCTCAGAATGAGAGATCCATACTTCTTGTTTCCGTATTTCCCATCCTGGCAATACACAAATTCATGGCTGGTCAGATTCATTCCTTCACGCAAACTGGTGATCATCAAGGCATCCGCCACTGAGATCAAAGCCAAGTATTGCGGGAAAGCAAGATCTTGTTTGAGGAATACCAGGGGCTGATGAGCAAGCGTTGAGTGCATCGAGTTGATTCGCATGGCGATGTCTGAAATCATGGCTTCGAGCTCTGGCTGTTCGGTGGTGCTTGTCGCGACCTGAATCAGAACAACCTGTCCAGAAGGGTCAGCGCAATCGGGCGCATATAGCAGCCAAGAATGTACTTGCCTTGTCTCTCCATTCAGGGTACGTGTTTAGGAAGAGCTCGTAGCTCAGAAGCTTTTGCCTGATTCCGCGAACTGAGTCAATTTTGTCGCGGGAAACGATAAGACATTTTCCTTCATATCTCTCCGAGATCGTCTTCACCCATTGTTCCACATCGGCCGCCTGTCGTCGCTTGTCCCAGGAGGTTGGATCGATACCGATGGGAAATGTACCCACGTTAACAAAGCGATCTTCCAGCTCGAGTCCCTCGTTGGTTGCCTCGACGCAAAGGATGCGACTACAGGTCTGAAGGAAATGTCGGCAATACTCATCAGTCTGGAACCCAATAAGGTTAGCACCCAACATGCCCTCAAGAAGTTCTTTTCGAGGCGCCAAGCATCTGAAGACTTCGGAGGAAGGAAAAGCTATATGCAGGAAGAAACCGATTTGTGCATCCGGGAGCAATTTCCGAAGCATCGCGGGGACAAGGAGCAGGTGGTAGTCTTGGACCCAGATGGAATCGCCGCGTTTCCAATTCTTCGCAATGCGCTCCGCAAACGCCTGGTTGGTCTTGACATAATAAATCCAGGAATGGTCTTCGTATGCTTTGCTTTTCGGGTTGTCGGGGATCTGGTAATGAAACACAGGCCAGAGGATTGTCTTGCAGAAATGAGTGTAGTGACCGTCAAAGTCGCCGTCGCTGACATAGACCGTCAACGATCCGTACTCATCTTCTAACTTCTCGGCGATGGCAGCTTTGGTGTGCGGCGACAATGCATCCGTGGGCATACCCAGCGTGCCAACCCACACTTTGTCTTCCAATTGGCCTGCATCCGTTGCAGATCGCACCGCATTACGCAACCCGCCGTTACCTTGCTCTGCTGTTTCGACGGTCCACTCGGCCTTCGAGAACGAAGTTTTGCGGCTGCGATCCTCGGCTTTGTCCGGGGGATGCGAACGGAAGGGTTCGATCTTCAATGGCGTCTTTTCGCGAATCGGCTCCAAAACAGAGACAGTGGGCTCCTGGTGTTTAAGGATCGAAGGGGAGGGTGAAATAGGCGGCCGAGCCCTGGGTTGGTTCAGAGCTGTGGTGGCACCCCAGGCGGGAGAATGGGCTTCACTTTCGGTGAGAAGATTTGCATCATCCGGCACAGTAGGAAATGGATAGCTTGGGGGTTCCTGCTCAGCCTTTGTAATGTCCGATGTGAAAATCCGCTCATGATCAGTTGTAGCCCCAGGCGTCAGGCCTGCCTTTCTAGCACTATTCTGTCGCTCAAACAAGCTGATAGCAGCATTTGGTGCTGGGGTCACAGCCTGGGATGGAGGGTTCGATACGGGAGGGCTCGTTAGAGCACCGGCTGGATCTTCAGAGTCGTTGTCATGAAAATTCACAGTGTACGGTAGGAATCTGGCAGATCGAATACGTCAGCGCAACAATGGCGGTAGAAGAGAATAGTCGACATACAATGAAGCGATGAAGATCGTCATCTTTGCTGATTGATACGGACTCTAAACCAAATGGCGGAGGAGGAGGGGATGTCAAGGGAATAATGGCGAAGGAGGGGCTGCAGGAAATGGAAAGGAATAGTGCTCGAACTGCAGTTGAAGAAGAAAGGGTCATAGAAGATATAGAAGAAGTGACACAGCGACAAGAAAAAAGGCACCCTGAAATGCTGGGCTGATACAGCTGGTTCTATTCTACCACGGATCGTTGTACTTGTCACAACTTGGACAAAAAGGGCCTTCTCTCATGGCTACGTCATGTGAGAAAAAGGTGAGGCCTAAGGCGGAAGAATCCAGCACGGACGGCCCACTAAAAACCTGATAAGCAATGGCAAAAACAAGAGAATCCAGGGTGAGAAGAAGGAGGTATGCCTTTTTTGACCTTTCCAGGGTGGCTTCGGCCCTGTCTAGAATAATTTTGGACTATTGACAGTGATCTACAAAGTATCTCTCTGATTAAACTAAGATCTTTTGTCGTCCCGACTGATCAATCATTTCGTTATTGGCTGAGATGATCGATCCTTGTTGGGTTGGTTCGTCTGTCATCATGCAAACCATAGACTGCGCTCTGATTGGCCTAGAACTGTAGATTCACAGGCGGTTCGGATAGTGAGGGGTACTTGTCACGTGTTGATAAATTGCTCCTTATCGTCACATGGATGAGAAACCTCAGGCAGAAGTTTCGTATCACTTTGAGGGCATCCAAAATCTTGAACGACATCTCTTCCTGAAAGGTTTCTGAAACCGCAGTCTTTCCCTCCTATTGTTCTTGCTGGGCCATGCCATTACGGATCACATCTGCTCCGGTATCTGGTATTCAAAAGAAAAAGAGACCCGCCACGTTTAAACCTCGCGCCTCCCCTTTTGCCGGACATGCTCGCCAGAAAGCCGCCGTTCAATCCTCCCGTCCTTCCAAGTCCGATCAGCTAGATGAGCTGTACCCGGGTGATTTCGATCAGGGACCACTTCCTGACCTTGGGGGTTCTCATTATGTGTCACAGATCGCCGCCGTCGAGGATGTGATTCAGGCCATCCACTACATTCGCGACAAGATGTTCGAGGATATCCCTGCTCGCGCCGGCATGAATAGTACTCGCATCGCTGAAGTACTTAATCTACGCCGGTCGCTACCCCCTCTAGTCTCAGTGGCTCATGTTCACACTCTGATGGATGCGCCTACGAAAGTGGAGAAAGAGATTGTGGAACTGGTCAATGCCGGTCGTGTTCGTCGCTTGATCGTCCCAGGAAGAGGGAATGACGCGGCGGGGCTTGGCGATTGCCTAGTTCTAACAGAGGATTGGGAAAGGATGGTGCGGGAAAGCAGTGTCTTGGAGGCTTCAGTTAAGGGTAAGTGAATGGCGTCCTGCCGTATCACCTGTCTGCCTTACTCTTGCTGATCAGCTCGCAGATAAATTTCTTCAGGTTCTCGGCCAGATCGGAAACACATCGGCTATATCTACATCGCTTCTTGCCCAATCGGAGCGTATGAAACTGCTTCGCGCCGGATTTTTGGTGTCATCGTCCTCTCTCGTCAAAGGTTCCACGGGTGTCGCATCGCTTCCCGGTCTTCCATCCTCTACTCCTGCTTCTGCTAGTCGGAGTGGTAGCGACGGTCAGTCCTGCGACACTCCGGATAACCAGCATCAGTCTCGATTTGAGACAGCGACCCTCTTCCTCTCACTTCCCAACACTGGGCCATATCTTCGACTTCTCGGAGCTGGTCGGAAACATCTCCTTGCTCTTCTCAACAAATCCAGTTCTGGCGAGGCCCCCGTCTATCTTCTGCGCGATCGCTGGGATGGCGCGGTTGAAACGGATAAGAGCTTCAGCGTTGCGAAGCGCGTGCGAGGTGAATTCGCTGGCATACTTCCAGGAAAGACGAGAAAGTGGAAAGAACTCTATGGCATGAATTTTCGCTGGGCTCTGGAGGAAGCTCTGGGGGCCGGGTTAATTGAGATCTTCGATACTGGAAGTGTTGGGCCTGCAGTACGCGCTCTATGAATTTGCTTTGTAGAGAAAGTCGTGCAATGTGGATGAAACTGGGTGCGATGGTGAAATTCCACCCGCTTTCACCTCATTGAAGCATACATATATATATACATCGTCAAATATCGACACCACTACGGAAGACGAACCATAGCGCGATTGCGCAGCTCGAGGCCCAGGGGGTTCGATCCGACGAAGAATGTTTCGCTGACGGACGCCGTGCCGTGCCGTGCCGGTTGATTTGGGCGGACGTAATACCCTGGCCGTTCTTCTGACATGGTGAAGACATATCAAAGCTCATGAAGAGCCATAGGTACGGTCTTTGGAGTGCTTCATGTCCTGTCGAGGCTCGAGGACTGAAATGCGTCTCGAGCCCCTTCATATACCCCTGGTTAGGTTTGAGATAGATGTTACTATATAATACAAGAAATGTTTGCTCACCCCACGGCTTCTCGACTGATAGTTTAAATTTACCCGCAGGCTCAAAGCCCACATCTGGCCCTTCAAGGATGATCAGCAACAGCCTAGTTACTGTTCAGGAGCTCGCGGAGCTTATCATCTAGCTCACCTAGCTAGCTTGCCATTCCATCTTCATAATATTAAGGTAATCTAAAATGGAATCTTCAAATCTCAAGTCCACAGTGTCAACACCTCTCATCCGCCTCTCCCCACACCCCTTTTCTTCCCTTCCCGCTCACCCCTCCCTCAGTGCATCCCCATCGTCATCTCGTCCGTCACTCCGCGTTTTCCTCGAAACAGCCCTATCAGAAGCCCACACTCTCCTCACAGACACCATCCCGAATACCTTCAAGGCAGACCCGAAACCGCGCTCCTCCCCACCCGCCACAGCCAAGGTCCGGCTCCTCAAGCGCACCATCCGCAACAGCAAGGGGAGTGTCCGAGGAGAGGAGGAATTCTGGGCATGCCGGAAGAGTGTCCACCAAGATGCGGCAGTGGCCGGCTCGGCCTCGTGGGACGAGTTCTACAGGAGATTGAGGGAGAATCATTCCGAGAATGAGATGGCGTATACGCCCAGTGTGACTTCTGTGGAGAGGTTTTTGGAGTGGCCGACCCAGGGGGAGATCGAGGGGGGTTGGAGGCAGGTCGGCATGCATGGTGAGTTGAGATCTTGATCTTGTGAGCTGATTTGCTTTGTGTGTAATCGTGTGCGACTCGTACATCAAGAATGCGCTCCTTGTATTTGCATCCTGTCTCCGGCAGGTCGTATCTTTTGCTTCGTTAATCTATTCTACATACACCCAAAACGCCCAGGTCTACGCACCACGCATCTAGATGGCAGCCACTAACAAGCAGCCAGTGAACATCATCACCCATACTTTCCACCCAACAGCCTTGATAGACCCCCGCACCTTCATCAGCCTAGTCATCTCTGCCGACTTACCAAACTTCGACCGTCAGGGATTCATGACGGTCCAGATCCCTCTCGCGGCGAAACCTACAGATGCGATTCCCCCCGAGATACGGGAGAAGGTTGCATCCGCGGCGCCCAGAAACGCGGTTTTTGCATCCTATGCGAGCGTGGAACAGGTTGTGCCAGTGTCGACACCGGCGGTGACCTCAAACCCAGGCGCGAGGGGCAGGACTGGTGATACCAATCAGCTGGAGTGGACGATGGCAACCACTTCAGATGCAGGAGGGGCGATTCCGCGGTGGATACAGCGAAGCTGGACGATGGGCGGAGTCCCCAAGGCAATCGTGGCTGACGTGGGGTATTTCATGAGTTGGACAGGCCAGCAGAGAAGCAATATATCAGATTCAGCTTGAACCGCGCATGGAATGATAAATAGTAGTGAAATGCCGTTAACCATATCTAAGATCGATGTCTGATAGTCACTCCTGCTGTGCTACTCCTTTGGACTTCCTTGCAGCCATAGTTGGATACAGAGGACTAGCCGGTGCTGAGTTTCTCCAAGTACAAGAAGAAAACGAATACAAATACAGAGCTCAATCGAAACGTCTTCCAGACAGGAAGAAGTACCTATGGGGCCCAACGAATGAATTTGTGACGGATTTTGCCAGCATGAGCTTCCAGACCAAGGGATCCAGAAGGACGAATTTTCAACTCCTTACCCCCTGCGCCATAGAACCCGGAAAGACAACGCGGAAGAAGAGTATGTTATAAAACAAGATAGCGCAAAGTACAGCCAAAGTGGAGACAAACCATCGTACCCAGCGTTATGCAACTTTCGACATGGCGGACACCGTGACGTAGATGGCGGAATGAATATTATAGAGGCTAAGAAATCGGGCACGAGACGAGACGTAGGTGAGATAGTGGTAATCAGAAGCACGAATGAAAGGGAAGAAAAGAAGGGAGTTCGGTGAATCAGAATTACCAGCCTTGCTCGGCAAACTTCGTGTATACATGGGATGATCTGTCGTCGAAGAAATCTGAACTCCGAGCAACGGGACGGTTGAGAGGTAGTGATCGTGCCGTTGGGTACAACGGGGAGAACTATTAGACATAACAAGGGACATCATATGAAAGTTCGAGGACCAATAACAGATGAGGGCATATCGGTCATCGCTGTGCAGCGCTACCGGAACTGCTCTCGGGTTGAGCCGATGCGGCGCTTGTATTCGAAGGCGCTAGGTTGCTGGCGTTTGATGAAGCAAGTTGGGATCGTAAAGCAGCCACTTCGCTTTTCAACCCCGCCAATTCTTCGTGGACTGATCGGATGTAGGCCCAAAGTTTGTCCTCCCGATCTCTGCCTTGTTCTACAAAGCTGGGATCATGTGGTCCGGGAAGGTGAGTGCCATTGCCTGCTGTGGCGTCCAGGCCAGCTTTCGAAGACAGGGATCCACTGTGATTGGTAGAATGACCGAGGGAAGATCCGTGTTTCGTAGCGGCCGACGGCGCCGGCGGCTGCACGGATCCTGGATTGTGAAGGGAGAACCGCGTATCCGAGGGGCCCATCCCGGGTGGAGGAGGCAGCTGAGGGGCGCCAGGTTGAGGGGGAGGAAGTCCCAAGCCAGGAGCGGCATGATTCGTAACTGGTCCCTGGGACGGTCCGGATCGGCTGAAGGGTTGCTGCTGGAATGGCTGCGACATACCGGGAGAGTGTGAACGGTGCAACTGGATATTACTTCCCTCCGGACCATGTCCGCCTTGGTGCGAGGTAAGAGCGTTTGGTGAAAGGGGCCTTGGGCTCTCGGTCACGTTCGTCGACTGAAAGACCGATGCACCCGAAGGCTGCCCCGGTGGTGGGAAAGTCATATTCCCGGATTGAGAAACGGGAGATGTCGACGCACTAGACCCACCGTGGCTTGTGGGAGGAGGGAATAATCCTCCCGGGGAGGGTCTGCCGGCAGCTATTGGAGGGTATGTATTTGGCTGACGCGGTTGGTAGCTGCTGCCAGAGTGAGAGCGTGGAATAGGATCTGAGGGGGCATCGTGCTTTTTGATGCTGGGCATGTTGAGTCGGCGTTCATCCTCTTCATCCATTCGCTCCGGTTCGGCATAGACGAGACCGTCCATGGTATCTTCGGCACCAGGGGGAACAGCGCCCTCGCCATAATCATCCTCTGGCGCATAACTTCCCATACTGGCTCTGCGACCGGCGCAGCCGCCCTGACCTTTATTATGTCGAGCAAGAGCATCACCGCGCGCGAACCGACGCCCACACTTCGGACAGATATGTGGACGCTCTCCGGTATGAAGCTTCGTATGTCTCTTGAGATCATGGAGTCTCCGAAAGCGCGACTGGCAAGTCTGACAAACGTACGGCTTCTCCTGGCTGTGGGTGAGAAGATGGCTCTTGAGGTTGTGATGTCTCGTGAACTCGGTGGCACAGTAAGGACAACGATGCTTTTTGGCCGACGGTGATCGCTGGCCACTTTTTTGGAATCCAGAATTGGGTAGACTGAGACCCCGGCGGGCATCGCCGAGATGGCCCGTAGGCATTGGGTAAGAGAAAGCCTTATTACTACTCTCCTGCATATCTGTGTCGTCTCGATGGCGCGGGCGATCACCGTCCTGAGAGGTAGAATCCTCTATGGGGCCCGGACTAGCCACAGTGGGAGCGGCCATTAGGGTCGAGCCGTTATCGGCAGTACCAAAAGTATCGGGGACGCTGCCCGAGGTATGCGCCGAATCGACTTGCATATGGTCCGACGACATGGGCATGGAGTCGTGGATGGAGCCGACATTTTGCTTTTCGCTAGCACCCAGAGCCTCTCTTGCTACCAGCGAACTGTTCTGCTCGGACGCCTTTTCCGATTCCTGTGGTCGGTCCATCGGACCGTCTGTTGGTGCAGTGGTGGACATCTGGGGTAACGGTTCCCTCGACCTCGAGACGTTGAGTCCGGCGCTGGCGATGGACGTCAAGCTCGAATCTTGCTTCGATGGCTTCAGAAACGCGACGGATTCGGGCGGGCTCGAGATGAGCGAGCTAGGCGTTCCGGACAAGGGGTTCGAGATGGCAACCGTCTCGTTAGTCGATTGCGTCAATGCAGCCATGGATAACAGATGCTTGTTGCCAGCCGGAAACGGAGGACGAATGAACGGGAGAGCTACTTGCACGGAAGTCATGTCAGTGAATGAATATCTCTTTTGAGTTCGACGGCTACAGGAAGAACGAAGGGATCTTCAAGTCGGCAGGCAGCAAAGGGAGTCCATTGAACGAGACGAAAAAGGCTTCGACCAAAGGAAGAAGATATCTCAAGAACAAGAGTCAAGTAGCACAGAACGACGAGTAATATCATTATATTGAGAGAAGCACCGTCGCGTGGGGCGCTCACCTGGAACCGAGTGTGGCGCAAGCTGACGGGAGTGGGAAGTTCAGCTTTCGCAAACGCCTTGTCAGACGATATGGGACCCCACGATGAGAAGTATGGACCCGGTGGCAGTGTAAAAATAGTGACTGAGCCTTGCAAGCCGGATGAGCGCCTCGGAAGGATGCTGAAATCTCTATCAGGATTGGGCTAACCCATCGGGTGAGAAGAGATTTGAGATGTGGCGGGCGTGCAGGCGGAATGGAGAATGCTTATTTGGGCTGTAAATAAAGCTCGAAGCAACGACTGATTTGAAATACGATGGAAACGAATGTCGTGCAGGCGGATCGACCCCTTTCAGATGTACAAAACAGCAATATCGCATAAATTGTCCACCAGAAACAGCCAAGTGCAGGCAAGGGAGAGGAAGAAAATCAAGGGACAATGCAGTGCACAGGACAAAAGTAGCGTACAAATGGAAGGGAAGAGAAGGATCTAATCAAGAGGCCTTAGGTTGACAGAAGGGATAGCTTGAACAGCGACAATTCCGGAGGGTTGCGGATTTCAATATATTCCGTTTTTGAGTAGTAGTAGTAGCAGTTGTTGTAATAGTAGTGGTAGTAGTAGTTGTTATTGTTGTTGCCGTATGGTAGTAGATGGTTGAGGAGGAAGAAAGATGGAGTGACTGATGGACCGAATGAATCGAAGAATGGATGATCAATTGATGGATTATTGATGGTTCGATGGATTGGCAGGTAAAGGTTAGTGTTGCTGGGTTGATGTTTTGGCTACTGTTACAGTAGAAAGCGGAGATAGATTCTCTCTCGGTCTCTCAGTCTCTCTCTCTCTCTTTCTCTCTCTGAAGGCGAACACGAGGATCCAAAGGGACAAAAAGTGGCTGGAGAGGGGAAAGCTACGTATTGGGTTACCACCTTACCGTATGGGTGCTGGGGCTCTGAAGTTGCCGGGTCGAGATTCAGTGTGTCGACGTACCGGATCTGTGGTATCTCCGGCTGACATCTTGATGTAATGATGTAAGGTACTGTCAGGTAGGTAGTTTATGCCTAAGGCCAATTCCTGTCGCCAAGCACTACGTGACAAGTCTTCCTTTCAGTGGTTATGCCAGAATATTCTACCCTGTTTCGAATTATGGAAGACTACTAGTTAAGGGAATAACTTCTGTTTTGCGATGATTCGTAAAGGTTATTTTTTAGGTGGAATGAAAAGAGCGACGTCTGCCTAGATATTGTGTAGGAATTTGAAGACGCAGCACAGCCATGTTCTAGAGCCGCGTATTCATCGACACAGGACGGAGTAGGTATCCACTGCTACGGTTGTTCCGTAGAAACTCGACGGGAATCAAATGAGGATGACATCAATGTCCATCTTACTCTGCATGTAAGTGTACCTCTTTACTCTGTCTGTACCTTTTACCTCCCTTATCTACATTGCAGTGTGCGCATGCATCCACACCTCTGTCAGTGGCACTGGGACAGAATAAGCCCGATTTCCAAAAGATGAGGCTGAATCCATCCCTAGAGCAGTGTGGCTGGCGAACTAAAGTGATCAGTGCAAAGACGAGTCCAACCTGATTTGATCTTCAGCAGACAGTGGGGCATCCCTTGAGGTGGCTGTACACTCTGTCCTGAGACTCCGGGGCAACAGTATCTTCATAAAGTGTCTATCTAGTTCATAACTTCTTACTGCCGTCCCTCTCTGTCTGTCAAGATCATATTACGATACCAGGCTCACGAGTCACTCCTCAGTGGCTCCTCTCCATTACCTTAGACGATCACCTACTCCGTACTGTAGACAACGCCCCAGTCTTCGATCCACCGTCCGAATATATCTTGCACTTAAATGTCATTATCCCAATGTTCATTTCTCAGCATCAACATTATTATATAATATGTAACTCACACAGTCCGAATAATCCACGTTATTCATAACAGCCATCTTCTGTCTTCAACAGCCACTGCAGCGAGCTTCATGACCTGGCATCACGTGGAAACGACGGCATGGACCATCTTCATCCACTTTGGTACATTTCATGCTAGTATGTAAGGTACCTCTGCTGGTAAATGCCTCGCATTATCACTTTGTATCTCCGTAGCTCTCACCCAAGTTGATTGAGAGTTCCTCCTTTCGAGTTTCAACGAGCGACCATGAGCTGAAATGTACATACTCAGTCCCGATGAAAGAAGTATTAAAAGGTAAGCAAGCTACTACAGCTCTGAGAGGCCTCTAGCAATAGAGATGCCAGCTGGGTTAGTTGTGGTTTAAGTATGTCACCTGAAGACAAACTGCCAATAAGCAAGAATCCTGGGTGTCAGCTTTCAAAGTACAGAGTACTCATATCCTCATTAATTATATATATTTTTTTGAGAATGACATGCATTCTCTGATTGCTGAATCAATAAGCTGACAGACTATGGATGCGATCGATGTTGACTAAATCATGGGCGCTTAGTGCACATTTGGAATCTAGTACTTAATGATATAGAACACTAAACTCGATCGAAAGCAGCATCATACCATGGTCGTGATGCAGAAATTAATATGATGGATTCTCTGCACGAGCGGCTAGACAGTTGGACGAGGAGACATTTGGTGGCAGTAGATGGATGGACTTTGACAGCGGTTCTGCAGCCTTCATGGTTGGTTGGGCAAGAGACGATCAATTTTGGCGCCGGGGAAGTGTCGAAGGGAGACGAAGAGAGACCACACCAGATGCGATGATGACTCGTCTCATTCGCTCTTCTTGTGACACGGCCTGCATCGTCAGTGGTAGATAAAAGGCCGGTTTAACACATCCTTTGGTCCTCTCCACTGTGATAAGCCAGGGCTGTTGCGCTAGTGAGTGTGCTCTGCATCCAGTCACCTCACTCATCCTGCACTTTTGTTCCTTCGACACATTAACCTACACCTATCTGGGCGCGTCCCTGACTTTACTCGGCATCATCTTTCCTCCAATCACTCCGGTCGGCCTTGACTGTGCTGCATGTTGCTAAGCGCTCACACCTGCGCCTTCACACGGCCCGGATCGTATCAAGCTAAAGATGGGTTCCCCCGCCCAACTTCGAGCGAAGATGACGGCCAGCCCAGAGCTCATAATTGATATTCGGGGCGATCACGCCAATTTGATTTCAATCAATCGATTTCTTCCTTCTCCTGCCGCTGCTACTGCTGCATCGGTTGAGTATAGAAGCTGAAGCTGTGCCGGTACCTCTGAAGTGAACAGAGCACTCAAAGTCAACTACTCTTACGGTGAGTCGTCTTCGCTATTCAAGCTGAAGAACGCTCCAGAGGCTAATTATCTGCATAGACGGATCTTGTAATTATCGTCTGTCTGATCGACTTAACTATCAAGTGAGTGTTGGCGTCGCTTTCGGCCACCTGATATATGCTTCTCCTCATCTGTGATGCTGCTCGATGAGTGTAATACTGATTTTATTTTTGCAGCAAATGGAAGCCTTCCTCCACTAGTCAACAGCAGGTCGGAGCCTACACATTGACCGCAGCCCACCGTTCAGCTGTGTATTCGTACTTTAGCAAACACAGTTCCCAAAAACGCCAGGGGCAAACACCTGTCTTATCCAAGGTTGAGAGCTGGTTCTCTTGGCCCCTGCTGGACTCGTCAATCATCGTACTCCTGTATTGACCTGGCTCATCAATGTCGGTCTCCAGTGAGAGCCAGAGCAATTCTCCTCACACCTACGAAGCTGTTTCTCCCGTTGATATCGTGCGTGGTCACAATCACTTCCCAATGACAGCCTCTTCGCAACCGGGTGGAGCTCGGACGGAGCGAAGCTCCTCTGAATCCTCTGTTTCCTCGTCAGTCAGGAGCCCTCGCACCGCTCGATTCGCGGAGGCAACATCGGTGCACTCCCCTACGGAAGCCAGAGGTGCTTCTACGTCTCCGTTCGCGGACCCGCCGGGTCATTCACAAAGTCAGCCCGATGTGTCTGACGTCGGCTTTGGTTATGTCGCAGCTAGCGATCCTGCTCAGCATGCATCCCATCAGCTTCCCCCAGCATCACCTCTCAAGAGCGCCCTCAAGGTCCCAGGCACTCCTGGGCGGACTTTGAATCCCCTGAGTCCTACTTTTCGGGAAGAATTCTTTGTGGAGAAGCAAGAAAAGGCTACTGAGAAGGAGAATGCGAGAGACCTGGTAAGCGGACCCCAAGAATCAGCAAACCTTTTCCTGAGCATTAATGCTCACACTGCTCGCAGCGAATCAAACTACGCGTGCGTTTCGCCAAGATATTCCTTCGTTTTGTCAACTTCGGTTGCAGTTTGATCGTGCTCACTATCCTGGCAACGACTCTGACGATATTCCACGCGTCGAAAAGTCTTCCTCCTCGTAACAATTTACCCCCCTGGGCCAAAGGGACGAATCCATGGCCGCAGTATCTCCTTCTGACATTGGCTTGCATCTCCCTGTTTTCGTGCCTGTTTGTCTTCTGGGCGTATTGGAAGGGTGGCCACAAGCGCGCTGAGAAGGCCGCAGTGTACTACACAATCTTCTCAGTCTGCTTCTTCACATTCAGTCTAATCATGTGGATCGTCGCAGCTGCTATCTATCAGAACTCCAAGGCCAACGGCAATGGTCAAGACCTTTGGGGCTGGTCGTGCAAGCAGAACCTTCGAGAACAATTGTTCCATAACGATATCGATTACGCGCTGCTGTGCCGTCTGCAGGTAATTGGAATTCCTTCCCCCAACTAGTCTTCAACGAGGCTGACTGGAACAACTCAGGACTGGGGCTTGGTTTGCGCCATCATCGAGGTCGTGATTGAAGTCCTGGTAATTCTCATCTATGCGGTTGTCTTCTACCGGTTCTACACCAAGCGACGCCTCGCAAAGTCAATGGACCGCCGTGACAAGGCCAGGTCGGATCTGTACCTGGCCCAGCTCCGGCTGCAATCTGCCCCCAATACCCCCGGCTTCGCCAACATGCCCAAGTCACCCTTCGTGTCCGTCCAACCGACCCAGGATTCCTACTCGGCCGCCGAGAACGGGGAGATGTGCTCGACGCAGTTCGCAACTCCCCGGTCGCCGACGAAGCCCCAACCCACGTTCCAGCTGCAGCCCCCTCCCATCCGTGTACAGCAGGCGACTCCAAAGATGGACCAAGGAGAATTCCCGGTGCCGGCTCCAGCCCAGAATATCAATGAGCACATGACTGCCGCCCCTGGCGAGCAGACCTACGAGGCCGTCCCTATCCCGGAAGCATACACAAGCCCCATGAGTCCCAACTTCCCTCAAAATGTTCGCCATTGATCAAGCAGAATGGCTGGGCCAAAAAAAAAAAAAAAAAAAACCCAGACAAAAAGAAGAAGAAAATCTTGGTCCTGAGAATGGTTCGCTACGCCGCAGGGGTCGCTCGAGGTTGTATTTATTAGCACTTGTCATTGACAAAGCCTACTGCTTCACCTGGAATTGTATTTCCAACTCTCCGTTGTTTCCCAGTCAGGGGACTCTGCGCACCGATCCAAGATTGGAAGACTTATTCTCTTGGATGGTATGCTATGATTAATGCTCCTGTCTTTAGTCTCGTCTCATCTGTCCGTTTTTACATTCTATATACCACTATGCATTGCTTATCATTCCTTTAACATCTCCTTTTCTACTGATTGTTTCAATCATATTGAGATTGAGTGCAATGACCATCTATTCAAGTCACATATATGTAAATGCGTGTGCTCCAACGGAGGTCCCTCCAGGTACTCCTCGACAAGGCTATGTCCTATGTCGTGCGGTGGACGAGACTATCAATCCCAATTGATCATCTTACTGAGCAATTCATGAGTGCCATTGCAAAACTTGGCACGGATCTCTTAAGGGCCATAGATATGAAGATGGACATTCATCATCAAAAAGGTCAATTGGGTGAAAACCTGCGGTAAATAACAATATAAATTCCACCAACTCCTCCGCAAGTGTATCCCCCATCCCAATCCATAATCTGCGAGGATTGCTCATGTAGCACTTCGTAGCATTCTGAATGAACAAGGTATTCAAGAATATACAGCATCTTCGTCCCTGACGTTTATCCGGGGTGGGCCATCAAATGATTAGTTCAAGCACACGCTTCGTCAATAACAGCATTCGCGTCTTTGGCAACATAAATCTCTTCTAATGAGCCCGCGCCAACGCCCTCGGACAGACCGTCGTTTTGCAAGATGAGACCTTGCTCGTTGGCCAAGTGAAGAAGACAGATAAAGCCAAAAGAGGTGCTGATGTCACGAAGCTTCTCTGGCGGATAGACCTTTTTGAGGGAATTCATGATCTGCGTGAATCGTAACCGACGGTCTTCCTTCGGTTCTTCCGAGCCATCGACTGGCTGCGGTCTTTGGGGTGTGGGTGTTGGCGGTGCATCAGCCTCGACCTCATTATTTTGTACTTGATTGACATCGTCCCCAGCCATTGTTTGCGGTGTGGAATCAAATTCTGTGGATGCGATCAACCTTTCGCCCATGCCCTTCCACATCTCTTGTTTCAGTCTCCGCACGTCGATCTTCTTGGCGACTCTTGCATAGGCGACGTATTCAGGTCGTGCTCGCCGTCCGCCTTGTGTCACCAATTGTGAGCCAAAGCCCCCAGCGCCCGGCTTGGGCGTCGCCCCTACCATGTTGAGGAGAGCAGCAATACCCGTAGCTCCTCCTGCATCCCCTGCTGTTGTGCCTGGAGCTCCATCAGCTGGTGGGGACAGCATCTCTCGCGCATCTGCAAAGGGCAGGTTGTCGTCGTCATCGTCGGCGATACCGAGCCCGTTCGGGAACGCGAGACCATCGTCGTCCGCGAAGAAGTCGGCATCATACGCGCCAGGGGCAGCATCCTCGTCGGCAGCCGCTTCCTCCTCCTGCTTGCGACTGGCCCAGAAGGCCTCATCCATTTCCCCATTAACCGCGGTACGGTCCTGTCGTCGGCTGTTGAATTGACGTAGGCCCACCAGTTTCTTCGAGCCCATGCGAGCCTTAGGTTTGAGGAAGAGACGGAGTAGCTGTCTGGAGTTGAAGTGCTTGTCGTCTGGTAGCAAATTCCGCCCTTTGGTTCTCCACTGTGTCTTGGGCAGGGAAATGGTGGAGTTGGAACTAGCCGGGGTGTAAATCAATTCAGCGACGGTTGGATCCAGAGGTGCCGCGAAGTCAATTTCAAAAGGCTCCTTTTCCTTCCGCTGCTTCGGCGCTGCAGTCGCAGAGCTGGCAGCCGCATGTTCCTTGATACGCCGAATCTTCCAGTGCTCAGGACCCGCCCAGTTCTTCTGAAGTGCATTGTCAAAATAGCTGAGAATGTTTTCATGGTCACGCTTATCTGGTTGATGAGTAAGCGATATAGCATACCCATCTTCATCGTCCATTGCCTCGTCGCCGTCTTGATTCTGATCGCCATCACGGTCAATGCGATGGACTTTCAGCATTGGCTCCAGGGCAGCCTCACGGGCCCATGCCTCACCCCCATCACCAAAACCGGCATCTTCACTAAGATCGAATCCAGCTAGAGTACCATCGTCGTCGTCAAAGCCGACAGCGTTGTCGTCGTCGAGCATGATCCCAGAGGCATCGTTTACGCCTCGTCCATCCTCGTTGCCTTTCTCGTTGCGCCATTCTTCAGGCGCCTTGAGAAAGGGAATATCGAGTGATCCAGTGGGATCGCCAAGGTCGAAGTTCTTTAGGGACGGACAGATATCCTGCTCATCGAGGCGCGCCAAATCGGGGAAAAATTGGCTCGCTAGTGGCGTTACATCAATCTCAACGTCTTCAAACGCATCATCAGAAGATCGCTTCGGAGCCGGCGAAGACGACTTCGGGCGTTCAGGGTCCTCCGAGTCTTCGCGAGTATTGTCCGCGTCATTCGGGCTTTCCTCAACAGAGTCGTCGCTGCTGTCAAAGACGATACGTCCCTGTCCATCTATCGACAAGTGGTTCAGGAGCAAGCCTTTTGCCCCGCCCTCGTCGAAATCTGCGGAGGCTTTTTTGAATAACGGGTCAACTGAGAATTCGAGCTCAAACTTTTTCAGCTGAAGCGCGGCAAAGGAAGGCGCAAGCGTAGCCTCGTGTGTTCTCTGGGCCTGGTGAAATCAAAATCAGACCGGTCCAAAGTCACTGAAGCGGTTATATGATTATCCGTACCTTTCTCCGCGACTTCCTGGTGGTTCCATCTTCCCCTTCCTCGTCGTCCTCATCATCACCCTCACCGTCCGCGCCAGTCTCACGACCCCGCTTCTCACGGCTGTCCGCCAGCCCACTTAGCAGTTTACCTGTTTCTGTCGCAACGCTGTCGACTCTGCTTGTATAAATCTTTACGCAACCATCAAGCGTGCAGCTAGCCTTCTGAAAGTTGACACCATCGCCTTCCTTGAGTAGAGACATATCATGGAAGTAGTCAATCAGAGCAAAGTTCCAGGAGTTGTTCGCATTGATCTTGTTGTCCGTGGCCATCTTCATCCATTCCTCGAAGTTTGCCAAAATAGGGACCCGTTT